CACACAAATTTCAAAAACAGGAAATAGTAACCAAACATATGCTTTAAAATTAAAAATCTGTAATGAACTAGTTGGTGCAATTAATTTTCAAAATTCATAATAGTGGAACTCAATTTTGAATTTGTTACTGTTTGCATCTCACGATAGGACATGTATAAGCATGAAGTTAGTTAAGGCCAAACCAATTTTATTTCTTGTTTTACAGATTTTTTTCTTCAGAAATCCTAAAGGCAGGAGGGAAAAAAAATATAAATAAAAATCACCAGTCGAAGTAATATTCCTTCATAAATACTTAGAGTATTTTACTTTTGACAATTTATGAAGTGTTTATGGGGGAAAAACAATCAAAAAAAACATTTTCTTGCACATTTACATTTTGGCCAATAGAAATATTAAAATTTTATTTTTTGAGCAGGGAGAATTAATTTTTATTTTTTTTCTTAATCTTGAAAAAATACGAACGGCGTATCCATAAAACAAGAAATAAAATTGGTCTGACTTATTTGAGATAAATAAAACTTAATACACTCAGATTAAACTAATGTCAAGATAATATTTACAACAATGACTTGTTTTACGGTGTAGATGGACATACATTTCTACGTGCTAATCCTGTTTATGAAAATGAGAATTCAACAAGAGAATTAAACATGATCCTGTGATGTTGTGATTGTCACTAGACACTCCGTCTCCAAACTAACTTATACTCATTTGAGTAGTGGTAATTCTTCCGTAACAATGATAAAATCAAAAGCTTAGATCCATGCTGCAGAGAAAGTTAAAGACATCTTGATGAGACAATAGTCCTCATTAAAGATGTGCTTTGTACGGCAGGTAATCTTGTCAGAGAGTTGTTGTAAACATCAGACAATCGGCTCCTCCGCAAGTGGATATCAATTCTACTAGGCCAATTATAACACATGAATTGATATCTGGTAATTACTCATACTCAATTGAAATTAATGCCAATTAAATCAATTAATATGAAATCAGTGCCAACTACTGACCTGAAAAACCTTATCTGAGAGTTATTATAAATGTCAGACGGTGGGTTCCTCCAAAAGTAATTAATTATTTGTGTATCTGTATTATATTATCATTTAAAAACAAATGAATCATAGCAATAATGCTGAAATAGACGATTTCCTCGTTAGGAACAGCAGGAATAAAACAGCAACTTCAGCAGAATATGAAAACGTAATGAATCCACAATGCCAAAGTAAATGCTTCAATATTACTTTCCAACTTGATGATATTAAGATCTTGCAGTAACACCACTATAGCTTATAAACTGGTGTTTAATGAAGTCCTACCTCATCCTAGAATTGTAAATGCCAAAGGGAGACATGTAATTAATGATGTTAATTGATTATTGTAATTAAAATGTGCTGACTTGAGAAATCAGAGAGAACAGCTTGTGTGACAGTGGTGTGTTTGTGTTGCACAGGTTGGAAGGCAACAGTGACACTTCCAAAATATTAACTTCGCTAACGCCAGATTAGGGTATACCCAGTCACAATATTGACTATAATACAGCTCTGTGTAATTATGTAGGGAAGGAAGAGTATACAGATTTATTGTTTCAATTCTTTTCCTGTTTTGGAAAAAGTGATATTTTTACAGACCATCAACTTGCAAAATTCCTGTCAGCTATGTAATATTAAACTTTGATTTAGAATGCCCACTATCTGAGTAAACAAATCATCTTAATTAATGTTTTCGAAAAACATTACGAAAGCACATACACAACAATAATTCAAAATGTATACTTGATAACAGTTATTATTTAGGGATGTTCATATTCTGCCTATCAAATGTTTACAGGGAAAAAGATATTTCCTATTGCTATTTGTAATGTGATGGCTTGGACCAGGTGAGGCATATTTCCCTGATACCTGGACCAGGTGAGGCATATTTCCCTGATACCTGGACCAGGTGAGGCATATTTCCCTGATACCTGGACCAGGTGAAGCATATTTCCCTGATACCTGGACCAGGTGAAGCATATTTCCCTGATACCTGGACCAGGTGAGGCATATTTCCCTGATACCTGGACCAGGTGAAGCATATTTCCCTGATACCTGGACCAGGTGAAGCATATTTCCCTGATACCTGGACCAGGTGAGGCATATTTCCCGATACCTGGACCAGGTGAGGCATATTTCCCCTGATACCTGGACCAGGTGAGGCATATTTCCTGATAACTGGACCAGGTGAGGCATATTTCCCTGATACCTGGACCAGGTGAGGCATATTTCCCTGATACCTGGACCAGGTGAGGCATATTTCCCTGATAACTGGACCAGGTGAGGCATATTTCCCTGATACCTGGACCAGGTGAGGCATATTTCCCTGATACCTGGACCAGGTGAAGCATATTTCCCTGATACCTGGACCAGGTGAAGCATATTTCCCTGATACCTGGACCAGGTGAGGCATATTTCCCTGATACCTGGACCAGGTGAGGCATATTTCCCTGATACCTGGACCCAGGTGAAGCATATTTCCCTGATACCTGGACCAGGTGAGGCATATTTCCCTGATACCTGGACCAGGTGAAGCATATTTCCCTGATACCTGGACCAGGTGAAGCATATTTCCCTGATACCTGGACCAGGTGAAGCATATTTCCCTGATAACTGGTGCAATAAAGGGGAAGATGATCATCATTTATGGTTCAACGTCGGCTTTCGGTGACAGGAGAAGAGGCTTTAATGCTTCATTTTTTATCATTGCATTACATGCAGTGTCAAAATATATTAACTCTGTATCAAAGAACATAAGAAGTTTAATTTGGACAAGATATTACATAACTGACTGCCTCTAAGAAAAGTGATAAATGCCGAATTTGCATTAATAGCATTCAGTTGATGTATCTGTACTATTGTAAATAATATGTGTTGATATTTACATGCATTAAAATCACAGAGTAGTCCTGATCCCTAATAATGTGATAATCTTCTTTATGAACCTGAGATTTCAACAAGAGAATTAAACATGAATCTGTGATGTTGTGATTGTCGCTAGACAGTCCGTCTCCGAACCAACTTATACTCATCTGAACTCTTCAGTAACGAAGAAAGAAACAGAGGTTTAAGTTCCTACCACAGAGAAAGTTAAAGTCATCCTGATTGGACAATAGCCCTCATTAAAGGTGTGCTTTGTACTGCAGGTAATCTTGTCAGAGAGTTGTCATAAACATCAGACGATCGGCTCCTCCGCAAGTGGATATCAATTCTACGAGGCCAATTATAACACATGAATTGATATCTGGTAATTACTCATACTCAATTGAAATTAATGCCAATTAAATCAATTAACAGTAAATGACTGCTTTTCACTGTCAACCTGAAAACAACATGACTTCAAAATATGCTGTGGAATTTGTCAACCTTCACTATTGTTTCTTTGATAATAATCACAATCACAATCACCATAATCAGTTACAACTTGGCATAACCCAGTTTTTCTAGTGATGAATCATTTATGGTTTTCTGCCCATATATTTCCCAATGAAACATATACAAATATTTTGTCAGTAATATCAAACCTTGTAAATGACTGTCCAGTAAGACTCGGCTAATCATTATCTCTATATTAAGTTAATATCTATCACTGATATGACAACGAGAGTTGTAGCTGTCAGAACCAAACATTTGGGCAGAGACAAAATGCTGATAAGATGCTAAATGCTAGTATCCCCTGAGTGGAATGTGAAGTGTTCATTTGATTTAAACATATTTTATTCATGAAAATATATGTCATGAATGGAATGGCCAACAAGCTTTGAGGAGCTTATTTGAAGGTCGCTCCCATACACATATGCAGGTACATTTGTTTTAATGCTTCTTAGATAGGCATTTTCGAAATTGTGAAGTACAATAAAGACAAACTTTATGGATAACAACTTTTTTATGTTATGAGTACATTTCGATACACAACGGTACAAGAATCTATATCGAAACGTCGCACTCACGAAATACAGAAGTTGCTGTTCATAGAGTTTGTCTACATCGTTCTGGTGCTGCAGGGTGTGAGGCCTGGTGATATGGAGGCCGGTACCGGGGACAGTGGACATAGTTTACACAGCACCCTCCCTCCCTCCATCAGTGCACCATCACTGACTGTAATCAATTATACAAGATTCTCAATAAACAAACTGCAATGTCATTACGTATCTTATTCAGCATTAGCTATCTCAGGATCAAAACAATCTCTCTGCTGTATTCTCAAGAGAAATCAAATTGATAAAGTTAAATAACTTCATGTGAATTAATTCTCATGCTGGTCATTTTGTGTTGATACAACTCAACTTTGAAAGGCATTTGTAAGATAATAAATGTAACTTCTTATTACAATCATTAGGGAAGATAAGTGAAAAGGGTCTATGAGGAGTATTGATAATTTCATATATCCCTTATATTTGTCAATGTCAATACATTTCTTCAAAGTATTGTGATGTTAGAGTGTGTATATAGAAAACTTGCTTTTGAGTGTGAATTTGTGTTAAAGATAGACTTGTGTACATGTGTAAATTTGGTCTCGTTGCTACATGGCTGAAATAATGCCAATATGGTGTAAAATCTCAAATTACTCTCTTCAACTGACTCAGTTTTGTGTTTAAGTCAGTGAACATAAACATACACATATTATTAAATTAAATTGTAAAAATCTAAATAAATATGCTAAATACGCAAATTGTATTTTATACCAACATTTATAAAATTAATGCTTCTTGTAAAGATCCAAATAAATCTCATAATTATGTAATATATATTTTATTATCCCCAAACAGTGTAGGCATGTTTTGCACACATGTAAACACATAGCATTAGAGAAGCTAAACAACTGTCCGATGTGGGAGAGATTGCCTACCACAATCAGACTGACCGACTCAGTCCCTCCAGCCTCCCCCTTCCCCTTCTCCCCCCTCTCCATTCACTCAATCAATACCTCCACCATGACAATGTCACCTGGCTCAGCCAATGAGAGAGCTCGGATCCCCTCTACACCACCCAAATTTGAACAAAGAGGCGGACTTCAGTTGTCTGACAGTTACAGCTGGTCACAATAGTCCGTCACACCTGACTGGTCGCACTAAGGATGACTGGATGAGGGAGGTAGAAAAGGGCTGCACATTGCTGGTGTTGGCAGTATATTGTAGAGATCACACCGTGTAGATTAGTCAATTGTAGCCTCATCTAGATCAAGGAACTAGCTAGGCTTCCTTCTATACCTTCATCAACAGATTATCAGGTTGGGGATAGCTCTGATTTGATTCTGGTGTACGGAATTGAACCATCTCTGTGATCCTTTATTTCGTTGGACTATTGCTGAACGGCTAGCCTGCCTGTCCTTAGTGCTGTGACAAGCTTGGTATTAAAGGTGTCCTCACATCAATGTTTGGCACCAACACTACTGAATTGTTTCCTCTGGACACAAATGTGCATCGCTTCCTGGATACTAGCATCTGAAACATGATTCTGGGAGCTGACAACAGAGCTGATTCCTGCAGTAAGTGCCAATTTGATGTCTCTGTGTATGGATATTTTTTCAAAATAAGGGATTGTGGAAATGGAAGTAGTTTATCAAAATATTTATAATAGAAAAAATATGTAAAAAATTATTGTAACATATATGCTAATTTATACATTTTCATTAAGATTTCTTAAGTTCAAATCAATTTAACTTTATTATTCATTATTAATTTTATTGTGGTAATATTCACTTAAATCTCAAATTAGCAGTTGCTTTTCTTGCTTGTGAAGTGTAAGCCAAAATATATAAAACTACATAAAAACATTTGTAATTTCCTTTTTGAAAGAAAGAGATTGTAAATACTATATATCAACATAATTACTTTACAAAATTGTATAGCAATATTGAACAAATGACCACTTAATTATGCCTACACTTTCAACTGTAGGATCATATATTATACTGCTCAAGATGAAACACTGAGTGTCGTCATTTAGTTGACAGTTGTCCTTTTAACCCTGTTATGTAGGAAATGCCAGACTCAACCTAGTGCTGATACAAGCACCTAAAGAATTATTTTCTCACAAGTCCAAAACCTGAAAAAAATAAATCAGCTTGTGCAAATTTTCATTCTGATATTTTTATGGTCAGCAGTATAATACAAGGGAAGTGTGACCTCCACAAATCTCAAACTGTCCACCTTAACCCTTGAGCTGTCAACTTGTGATAGATGAACACTTGGGTAGGAAGTATGATGTCTTACGACAACATGATTACAGACCTTTGTACTCTTGTCACCATTTACTGATGTCCCTTTAGAAACATCTAAGATTTATAACCAGAATATAGCTCCATGATCAAACTAAAATGTTGGACAGAGGACTGTAGATGTGTAGGGTTAATGCTTATGTTTGTAGGTTAATGATCAACTCCACTCCATAGGGTATGGGATTATAGGACAGGGATACCCCTACACAGGCTGGGATGGCTGTGTGGAGCCTGAAGCCGCAGATGAGGCTTTAATTATATCATAGGATAACACAATCAACAGCAATTACCAACAGGCACAGGTGGTTCACATGTGATGCATTGTCGTAAACATCTTAAAACTATATTTGCATAGCGCTTAGTGACATTAGCAAAATATTTTAATCACTTTGATCAACGGATGAAAGAATTGAATTATTTTATGCAATAGAATAATTTTTCAGTTTTGGGAAACAACAGGAACAAGTGGGTAATCACTTTAACTGTTTACTCACCAACTCTGTATTATGGGTCAACGCTTCATGATTTTGGAATATTTGTTGAGAACAGATTTGGGTGTGACCTCTTAACCTGTGGTGGGAATTTTGAATCTGTCAAAAATTTGGTTTTTAACACACGGGTGTTTATAAATATTCTGGTCATGTAGTGACCTTGTGACTGAAAAAGTCATTTATTTTATTTTAGACACCACTCCATCGGCTCTAAAAGTAGCCTAAGTCATGCGTGAAGCAGTGGATTTTAGGCATATCCAAAACAATTCCTATTCAAAAGCTACTCCGATGCGCATCATCCAGACTCCATGAGGAAAAGTAATAAAATATAAAACAAATCACCACATGTATTTACTTTCAAGGGTTTCGTGCCCAACTGTAATTTATGTTACAATGAGGTGCTCCCACCTTTGCTGTATAATGAGGCACCTCCTTCAATGACTGGAAAATCTCTCTCTTTATCACCTGCTGGCTCTGGCCTCACATTTCCCAAGATAACTAAAAACACATCCCTCACTCGTTTTTGTCACTACTGGACAAACTTATCTCCAGTTTCATTTTAAATTTTAAAAAGCCCAGGTCAAGCTGACCTTGAAAGTTTATATTAACAAAATATAATCTATAATACAAAATTTGAAATATTCAAAACAACCAAATATATTTTGTTAAATATATATATCAAGAAATGGACAAAATAACTGAATTAAAGTCTTCTGCTTCCAAAGTTCTGATTTATGTTTTAATTATAGTGTTATCATGTAGGGTAGATAACAAGTCACAGTCCACTTATCAAAGAGATTGTGGCTGGTATTTGCCTTAGATCAAATAGTGTTAAAGGGTAGGACAGTAAACAAGCCAGCACTCAGGGGACTCAAGGGTATGGCATCGGCCATAACATGTTGGCCCTAGTGATTTGGCTTCAAACAACTACATAATAGAGTTTCAATTAAAAATCATCGTAATTGCATAAGTCGGGTGGAGTAAACTGGAACTTAGATCCAAATCTGAGCCCAAAGATAAAGAAGTTTGGATATCATGTCTATTGGGGGTTGGGAGGTTTGCTCATTACTGGTTGCTGTTTGACAGGGAATAGTTCACAAAGCCAATTGACCTGATTAAACGAGATCAAATGAAAGTCGTACCACAAAGCTGTAGATCGCAGACCAGCCTGGCCGCCAAGATAATCATCTTCCTATTGTAGGAGACAGGGTTCCCAATAATGCCCAGTTCATTAGAAGGACCCTGAGCTTAGAACAGGCGACCACAGCCACAGGTGGTAGGGGCTGTATGGCCACCATCCACAAAGTCCTTTAGGGCAATGTTTTTATAGAATGTGTCACCTTGATAATATCAAGAGCTCAAAGAACAAGACTGTGAGTGGGTCAAGACATACAAAAGTAATAGGGTTACTTCACTTCAAGGGAAAATTTAACGCTACAGCCATAAAAGATGGTGAATATTTCTCCCAGCCATACTGGCTCAAGTTTTAAGCTGTTAATTACAGGGTAGACCCCCAGCCTTATTTAATGGGCAGTGCAGTGTTGTTTGTGAGGTGGGTTTCACGCACCTGTCTTCCTTTCCTCTGCTATCCTCAACCTAGGGTCAGTCTTGCTAATTGTACAGGATTAACCACATCACATTGATCTCAAAGAAGTTCAATGTTTTCAACATTTATACTGTGCAATTTCTACTGTTAATGAGAGAAAACTATAAAACTTGTGTGTTATACCTTCAATCAAACAGATAATGTGTAGTACATCTACTGATGTTGGTACGTATCATGTTTATATGGTTATATGAGCCTGATCCACCCACGACAGCTTTCATTCCACGTGAACACATCTCAATTATTGCACATTGTAGGGGAGTATATCCACAAAGATTGTAGACAGCCAACAGTTTGGATTTACTCTAATTGTCCAGTACACTTACTGCTTTCACATTGAATTCATATAATTACATCTTGGTAACGAACTAATATTTGTATTTGGTTTGAAAAAATTAAAACAATGAATTTGAACAATTTTCATCTGCTACTTCAACTTAATTCTTATCTCTTCAGTATTCCATTTTGGTTTATTACTTTACAACTTCGGTTATACAACCGGTAAATACAGCATTACGGCCTGTATCGCCCCCAAGGGTGTATTACAGAGGAGCAGCGCCCCCTACCATGTGGAGTGTGGCAGGCCCTTTGGAGCCACTCACCCATGCATCAACCTCCCTTGAACAGATAGAACTATGAAGATATAAATAGATATAAATCTGGAAATAATTTCAATTCACCACGTTACCATAACCTAAATTTAGGATCATTAAAAAATATGTAAGTGGTTTAACAAAAAAATATAGTTTATTACCCACCATAACCATTGGAAGTTTTACCACCCATGCTACTTCTGATGATATAATCTACTTTGGTTTGAGATAGAAGTAGTCAGAACAAATGAGGAGAGGGTCACGATTACCTCACCCCCCATAGAGTGTATCAGCATAATCCCTACCACCCCCAAGAAGCCTGGTAGACTACTGAACAAGGCATGATAGAGGTAGGAGGGAGGGGGCCTTTCTTCTCAAGAATTACCACTTCAAGTGTCACTGCCAGAAACTGATGGTCAAGGCCCTTTGTAGACCTACTCTTCCAACCTATAGTCATTTGTCAGTTACATGTATGACAATGGTAACTTCTGTAATCGGAATGAGGCAATCAAGGTTATTGTGAAGGTCACTGACATTAACATAGGGTTCTAATGGTTGATGGAAAATCTAAGACAGAACTAGCATCTCTAGTACATCTTTAGTAATTGGACACTTCTAAGGGTCATCTGCTAGAAGTTGGGAATTGAGGGTTGGGCAAGCACCTGCACTAGACACTGGCAGGGGTCAGTGACTAGGGTCCAGGCCTGTGTTTACTGGTGTTGATCATCATGTGTTCCAACTGATGGGAAAACAGTCTGTCAAAGCCTGGTATTAGCTCTGCATGTCGGGAACACATGGTGTGGAGTTGGGCAGGGTCCTCCCAGGAATTTTGTGTCTACACGAGGAATGAAGCACTCTTATTTCTATGGAGTAGGACATCTATTGACATTAACTTTAACCTGTTAGTTCAAGTCTTTGCTATGAAAACCTTCACCATTTACTGTACAAGCTTATAGTTTGTGTTTATTTGAACTAACCATGATGCTTTCTGTTCAGTTGGTCTGTGAAACATCAAGCCTGAGGTATTGCATTCAGTTATGTGGCATTAGGAAGTCATCAAAGTAAATGGGGTGGAAACAATATTTTCATGCTCAGTGGGCCAGGCTTCAAGTGGTGCACTTTGTCACACATGATTACAATTAGCTAACAGATGCTAATTATCCATAACTATACCTACTGAGGTCAGAGGTCAGGTTCTAGTTATCTGAGACAAATATAAAATGCCAAGTCCCAATCAAACTAATGATTAATGACAGGGTCTGGAAATTGTCTGTCATAGCAGCCTCATCTCTCAAGCTGCAGCAGGACATTCCATCACCAGCTATGGGGAGGTGTTGAGTTAACTGCTACAGGCCAACATTGTTGGGCTACCGAATGCATAATAATCACAACATATTGACAGGCATAATACATTCATCAGTTGTAGGGGGTACAATGTAGATGTGCCTAATTGACAGGCACATCCTATCCATTACACAGCCACCACATTCATGTCAGTTACTTGATAGCAACATCCTCTATATAATCTTAGAGGGGTGAAACAGGGTGATCTACTGTGCCCTGCATTAATTATGTTCATTGTTTGCAAAATTAGGCATAGGCTATATTTTGGAATGGCTTTACACAGACTATATTTTACATCCTTAACTGGCACTAAGCACTAGCAACATCCTCTAAACAATCTTGCAAGGGAGAAACAGGGTGATCTATTGTGCCCTTCATTAATTATGTTCATTGTAAAATGTAGAGTAGAGAGGGTATATTTTGGAATAACTTTATACTGACTATATTTTTCATCCTTAACTGGCACTAAGCTCTGAAGAAGGAACTTTATTTTTGGATCAAACTTGAAGAAAGGCCAGTTATTCTGAGCAGGAACTGGGTGTGGGAATATTGCAGAGCGACATTGTGACTTGTTACAGATAATGATGTTAGCAAGTGGGGAATGTGGGAAATAATTACATGAAGGACCAGATTATAGTTTTGAGTTCATCAGGGTAGCTAATCTCCTTCAGCTAGAGCACAAGAGGATTGGGAGATCAGGAATGGGTTTCTATTTATGAACAATACCGGCCTTCTTCGGGGTGAGATGATACCCTTTTCCACAATGAGATTGGAGAGAGGTCCCACGGGAGGACAGGTCCCTAGCAGGAAGGGGTGTTTGTGGATGGGGGTTAGGGTGGATTTGCATTGTAGTCCAGGGGTATCATAGAGTAAAGATCATAATCACTACGTTTCTGGTTTCAATCATTCTTATGGCCCTTATCTCAAATGTTATCTATGATACATACTTTTGGACAGGTTCATTTTTCAACACAGATATCCATAATGGCCATTTAAGCGTCATTAGATATGAAACAGTTTTATAATACATTTTCCATATCTTCAGGACATATATATTTAATCCCTCATTAAACAAGTACTTCAAAGTAAGAGACCATGTTTTACAACATACACTTTCCGTCCAAATTTTATGACTTGTTAAATCCCAGTCTACTCCATGTATTATCCATAGTATACAAAACCCAAGTTCAAAATAATTGGATAACTGAAGATCAAGACCATAAACCCTACAGATTTGCAAAGGTGTTTTTATTAAAAAAACACCAGCTCACTTGTTACCCTCCTCCAATCTTTTATTAGGGTTGTGAAACAGGGTCATTATAATGTGATCATTTGGACCTAAAGCCAGGCTCCTGATGATCTTAGCAGTTTGGAGCTTGGTGTACATAATGTGTATCTACTTCAAAGGAATTAACCACTAAGGAGATTTGCTAATTATCTATACATCTTAACAGGTGATGCTTTGATCTAAGCTTGGGCAATACAGGTGCATAGTTGGGTGCAATCAACCTTTTCATGATTTTGAGTGGAGAGAGCCTAACTTTAATTTGCAAAGCTCTCATTGGCTGGCTAGATCATCGTGTATTGACTGGGAATGGTCTAAAAGGGTGGAAGGCGATGCAAGTCATCATTCATTCCTGGAAATAATAACTGTAAACTTGTGTACCTCAGCAAAACTGAAGCAAAGTAGCTACACTGTGTTGGATAAGTGACTTTCAGTGTTGGATAACGTATACAAACTGTTGGATAACCAGTACCTCACATTGGATAACAGCTCCAGTGTTGAATAGTCATGAGAGTCATTGCAGATTGGGAAGGTAAACTTTTTTAAAACTTTAAACATTTATATACTTCTGCCATTTTCCTGGTGATTTTTCATCTTTTAAACTGTTACAGTACATACCTTAATACTATGGTTGTATTTGAGTCACTATGAAGGACACGTGGCTAACTAATATGTTCATGCTCTAAGTGATGCCTGCACCTAGTGAAGTCTTACAATCAACTACATTAATCAGTTTACGCATTATGAAGTAACCATATTATACTCTTCAAAACAAGTTAATGGTATCCTCAAAATATTTAAATACTCTTAAGACATGTATTTAGAAATATTTATTCCGAAGACTTGTTGTAAAAACAGACCTAGATGATAAGAAAACCTGAGTACAGCTCAACAATGGCATGAGGGGGATGTTGATGTGGAGGATTTACCTGGGTATCACCTGAGACAGGTGTGAGGCTGGGTGAGATGGATTTAACAGGTGCTTGTAAGGATTTAGATTATCTCAACACAGAGAATAAAGACCAGGTATCAGGATCATAGATAACATAACACTGACCCTTATGGGATAAACTAGTGATATACCTAAACTGTTAATTGTTATGCTAGCATCCTTTGTTTTATCTTATTCTATTATGCATAACCTTACCCTACCTCAAGCTCATCAAGACTCAAGCAAATATAGATTTGTTTATATAGCAAAATGTAATGAAATACAATGAAAATGTTATTTCCATAACATTTTTTGGAAACAAGTATACTTTATAAAAATACCTTTTAAAAAATATTTCTCAGCTATTCCAGCTATATTGAACATATATGAGGCTCTAAATGTAGCCCCCAGCATATGTCCCTAGCAAGGTGAACCTCAAGTAAACATTGACTGACCAGTTTAGTAAGCATATCAGTCATGTAACAACTTGTGCCTATTAGAAATGGCATGCACATATTCTCAAATTGATATTCCTCAATCACCATGTCACTTCTACTCATGTGAGAGTTTTCAATGCCATTTAATTAAGTTAAATCACCTAGTGAATTTTGACAATGAGTGAGTGATTCAGCTGATTTGTTTGTACAAACAAAAACACAGGTATTGTTTCTTACCTAATTCAATTTGTTTGAACAAACACTCAGGTATCAGTGAGCTTGCCACAGCCAACCAGGGCACAGTTCTTAACAAGCTTCTATTGTTCTAGCCATATTTGGCATTAACTGATTGCACATCAGGCACCTCCAACATATAAATAAGGGAGATGGAGACTTGGAGATCAGTACAGTGTTACCTCTGATACAATTAACAACTTGTGTTTGTGACTTGGATATGATGATTATGATGGCTCGGAGTACAGAAAGAATACTAGCTCAACTTGAAGGTAAACTTAATTTAAATAGTTGAATTTAATGTAAATTCAAATTTTCTCTTTTTTATTGAACAGGTATCCTGAAGTTTGACATTACATTATTTAATTAGGACTAGGATTAGGATCTAATTAATCACATTAGGAGTGTGCTAAGGCTGAAGTAACATTAGTTGCCTCTCTTTAATGAGATAATTATAGAACATGTGACTTGACCCCTTCCATAGTTGACTCTTGACAGTCAGCACTTGTCACAGACTTGAATATGGGGCCCAAATTGAAATAGTCTAATTTTGGTTTCATCACATCTGTTAAAATCAGTAGCATCTGCTCATTAGTATCAAATCCTGCCCCTGTGATGGACTGACCAATGTTGTTTCATTTGTGTAAAGCTTCATATTTAACTTTCAAACTTGTGACACTAGAGTTTGGTTTGATTTACAATATCCAAATATTTGAATAGCCCCAAGTTGGTAGTATAATTAGTGGACAGAGATTAGCACAGACAGCAAAATGTTGTTTGAAGTGGACTTCTGGAAATATACAATGTCTGATTAAATGATGGAAACAAAAAGTGAGATAAAGATGAAAGAGCCAGATTGTCCTCCTTCACAGATAACATGTCATTTTCTTGTTGATGTCATGTTGGGTTGTTTAAGAATTTATGACATCGCTAATCCCACAGCCAGCCGTGAGTAATCCCCGGTAGATAGCCCAGGTAGACACAGTTTGAAAATTACAGATCACACTAATCCACCTGGAACTAAAGACAGTGAAAAAACACTGAGAAAATCAAAGCATTGAATGAAAGATAATCAATTAGTGTTGTACAATGGGAGAGTTAGTTTCAGTGTCACGGGTCTGTATACAGCAGATTGTAACACAATAGGTTAATTGGCTGGGATAAACCCAGAGACAGCATGGTGAGATATATAGACACACAAGTGGCATCTTCTTCACATTTAGAGCAAGGAGGTGATGCTGGATACATCAGACCAACTCTGGCTTCCATCTACCTGTGGTTTTTTTTTTACCTATTTCCACCTGCACTTTACACCTGTGCAGGTTTAGCATGTTAATTATGGGGGAATGTGTTGGATTTGTCGGCTCTGGCCTGAACCCAGGGATTGTTCAAGGTATATATACTTACACCTGTTCTGTAATTGATGCCTAGTAGGTTTACAATGTGTTATGTTATTCTAGGAGGGATTTTACTATCGACAATTATCTTGTTAGCTTTGCAGGTTTGTGTCACAGTTATAAGTGTGAGTTGTTAAGCGTCCTGCTCATTTGTAAATGTGACTTTACAAGGGCAGGTCGTACAGACGAGTGTGACAAGTTTATCACTTTATACTCACAGTGTCATGTTTATTGCAGATTGGTTAGAGTGTACTATGGACACTGATGCCAGCATCAACGACCACATGACCTCGGATGAGATGTACATGCAGCTTCAAGCTGATATGGTAAGTCAAATTATTTCATTATTATAGATTTTGGCTGAATTTGCATCATAACTTTCTGACATTGTCCTCAATGGGTGTAGTTGGTCTAAGGGAGATAACTCTTGGTAGATGGTATATTTTAAGGCTCTTCAGGCACTTCTCTGTGGCCACTCTACTGTAACCTGGGTTGAGTAAGTGTTGACTCAAGCAAGTGTTTGCTTGCTTGAGTCACAATGGCCCCATTCATCATTTCAACAATGTATCAGATACAGTGAATTGCTGTTTGAACAGGGTGTATCTATTTTCTTTGTAGCATAGCCAGTCCTTGGTAAATGCAATTTCTTGCTGCACAAAGAGCGATTCCACATTTCATTTAATGCTCTATGAATTTCCCATCATTGGAATTTAAAAACTTTCCAGATTAGGTGTCATCTTTGCATGGTTTCCAGTACAAACAATTGGTTTTAGACTTTAGTGGGAAATGGAAATATAACTTGAAGCAATTTCCATGTCTGGCCCTTTGATCCATTCATGCTAACAGTCTGAATTGTCTCAACTCATATTTTAATGTTTGTCACTCAATCAAATTTTATTGCCCTGGGAGAGGTCTTTAAGAAAGGGTCACTAAAATAAATTCACATAAACTTGCTAATTTCTTTTGGACATATGATCAAAGGATGAGAATTAATTATAGGGAGTTTCTCCTGGGGAACCACACTTCTGTATACTTTTCCTTTAACTAAGTTGGTTTTAACAGTTAGGCTAAAACCTGTAATCAACTTGGGGTTATTGTTTAGCATGAAAGCCTCCCCTCCCTGGCTTGTGAGAGCCTATACAGAAAGCAGGCCTACTGGTCACTACAAAGGTCTCCCACATCTGCCTGCCCTCTCAGCTTGACCACTCTCACATAATTAGCACACTGTAACATTCTGCCTCATGACAGGGGCACTGTGTAGGGTGAACATTTCAAATTCTCAAATGTATTTTTCACTTTTTACACATCAATCTTTAAAAAAGTACTGGGAACATAATTCAGAAAAAGTAATTTAAAAACCATTGCCCCAAAAGGCTGAAACTATAAGTGATCAGTCAAGCAGAACTTCCCACCCCACTAGGGCCCCTGTGGTATAATGAGCTGGGGGCATCTGATTTGCATGTGTATAGCCCTATTGGTCAGTATGAGCTAATCAGGATGGCATTGTGAGCTGCACTCGGTCTGGGCAGTGCAGTGGTCAGTTGTAGAGGCCATACATAGTGTTCTCAGCATTATGTACTGTCTGTAGTTTAAACGGAACACAGACCAAGTTTGAGCAACAGTTTTCTCTATTTGGATTGTACCTTTGTGGCTGGATGTACTAGTTGAGGACTTTGTTGAGGACTTTGTTGTGGACTGTGTGATATGGTGTGGAGGAAGCTGATGAACCATCAGTGTCCCTGGGATCAAGTGTATATATTCGTTCTCAACCTGACTGGGTCATCATTCTTCTAGCTGTAAGTGTTTCAACTGTGTTGTACCTAGATCTGGAAATGGTTTACAGAAGATGTAAGGTAACTGAAATGGGGGTTTGTGATAGTGATAATGACATGGGATGGCAGCCATCTTATCTGTTTACAACTCATCCAATATGGCTGCCATTCTTTGTTGGGTTCTTGTAATGTTATGATGCAACTTCAGCCTCTCTGCTCACTTTCTAAAAAAATATTTTCAGCATTTTATACATGTATGAATATTTATATGGTTGATTGAATTACAGAAATTGTTATATTTAAAGTTATATTTAAATATTTACAATTAATATTTTAAAATATTATTTTAAGATACTCTTAAATTCTGTAAGAATTAGAGTTATAGGATAAAATAAATTGTAAGTGGTATCTTTATTTTCACCCAATGCCTTTGATGTTCAGTGGCCAGAAAGTTCAGTCTTCCCATTAAAGTTGGCCTGCCCAGTCTATTGTGAGAGGTCTACTTGGCAATGACATAACTAACCACTGAAAAAGCATTAGGATTCATGTAGGGGGCCTGTCAGACTGGATGGAGAGGCAATAAATCTTGCAGGAGCTGCTCCAGGCTCTTTAACCCTTCACATGCCTATGTCCCCCTTCAGATAAGCACCCCTCAAACCATAGTTGCATTTATGACCCTGTTTTACAACCAAGTAACCCTGGATACCAGCCCCAATCTGACCATGATGTCTGATATACACAATGATAAGATTAAACAGGTCAATGCACAATACTGGCAGGCATAATTAACTTTTTCAGTTTCATTAAAACCATTCATTTGTATCCTGCAAAGATGTATTTTTAGAACAGTAATGTGTATTAGAACCAAAATTGTTACAGTTTTAACATAAAATACTTTTCCAGACATCTGACCATTTTTCCAAATTAGTGCAACATTTGTTTTGATGTCATATTTGACACACACAAACATCTTCAATGAGAAAACAAAAGATTCTTCCGAGGGGCTAATTCATGACCAGTGGCCTGGAACAAAAACTTGTCAATGGCACACTTAGCACAATGTCCCAGGGTTAAAGACAAAAGAATGAGATCCCCTAATCAGCAGCAAACAAACCTCTGACAGGGCCAGGCTTACATTGTTTAACTCAGACAGGGTGGCTGCAGGTAGAAAAACATAGGCCTTAGAATAACTCCCTGTCATTGTCCAAGCTTGGACCAATCACACTGTAGTTTTAGTCTGATTAGCACAGCAAACAGGTTATTGTACACAGGGGATATAATCTGCTGAATTGCCCTGGGTTAGTTTATTTGCCATAACCTTTGGCCATAGGTAAATATTCCCTTAGCTGTCAAAAGTATAGAATAACATTTAGGTCCCATGGTAGTCATAAGTAATTGGATTTTATGGTAGGGGTGGACTGTAGAAAGTTATGGTTATTGATTAATTGTTTTGAATTGTTCAATCTATGTAATTTATTTTCCTTGTACTTATTTATTCTTTCTTAATTTCCAGGTAAACATCAAAGCTCAGGAGCAAGCCCTCCAGTCTGAGATCAGCAACATTAAGTCGAAGTTCACAAATCTGCTCCAGACCTGCGGCCTGGAAGATGAGTTCCCGGTTGATGACAACGTGAAAATGTCCACACCAAGAAGGCCTGCTCATGCCAACGATGGAACTCCAAGACGCACTAACTTCAACTACGCAGACTTCTTGATAGAACAGCTCCTTGCTGGAAATACCTTAACAGACTCTGATCTGTCCATCAGCCCTGAAGATACACGAAACTCAGCTGAGGTTGAACCCGAGAACCTGAACCAAGTTGATGCTTGCAACCTTCTCAGTGCCAGCTCAACAGCAGTCCCAAACCAGAATGTGTTCCGCACAGACAATCACCACGTCACTGTTGCTTCAAATGTGCTTCGCCAGGTCATGCCAAACAACATTGATGTTACCACATCTGAGAATGGAGTTGCTACTTCCTCGGATTCTTACCCCCAGTCATCCTCAGACTCTTCAGATAACCAAGTTGTGCCTGATCTTGACCGTGAGAAGGACCTTGATTCTCGCAGGCATTATTATTCAGACTTTACTATTGACAGACAGAGGAAGATTAACCAGCTCCTTCTCCAGCTTAAGCAGAACAACAACACCACCCTTCTCAGCAGGCCCGAGGTTTTCCCTGGTGGCGACAGCTCCGAGCGACTTGTTGAGGGAGCTGAACAGCAGGTGTCCTTCCGAAAGGTCATGATCAACAGGCGTACTTCCACTGCCAGTTCCAGGTCCAGCGGAACTGATTCAGCGTCTGCATCCAGCACCATGAAGAAATCCAGCCGATCTACAAGTCGTCGTAATAAGACATCTTCATCTCGCACAAGTAGTCACCCACTGATGTCCTCTACCATGATCTCTGACCCCTCCAACGTCATGCCCAGCAGCAGCTCCAACAGCAGTGTCTACACCTGGTCCATTGACGAGAACTCTGACCCAGCTGACCTTCAGGGATCCTACCTGAGGAGCAGACACAGCAGACACAGCAGCAAGCACAAGTCTCACCGAGTCCGCATGCCTAGAGTGTCTACTGAACGCAAGAAGCGACGTCACCACCGTCACAGCGAGGCTCCATCTCTCCACCTCACCCATATGGTTTCCACCATTCGAGACGTCCACCTGCAGCAACCGAGTCTTCGCAGAGAACAACTGTGATAAGCTTCCCCGCACCAGTACCAAGACCCAGCTGCCCATCATCAACAACTCGTCCTGGGAGAAGGCTCCTATCCACTCTACATCCGGTGCAGAGTTCTTCAGCATCCAGCCCTCTGACGTAGATGATACCCTGGACTCCTCTCCTCTCCAAGAACGACTTGATCTCCCGGCAAGTCCAGCTCCAGTGGTAGCAGTGCGGTGGCCTCGTCAACCCATGCAATACCATGCAACAAAGTGCTCTGACAACTACAGACTATACCCGTGTGTCTTCTCTTGCTGACTCATCTCTCATCGACACTGTGCTCACAGACAGTCCAGCTGATTCCGTAAATAGTAGTGGTCTTTACGCTCCCTGCAACTCCCCCCGCTACAGCAGTGTTGGCTCTCACTGTGGCTACACCACCGTCAGCAGCAGTGTACCATCAACCTCCAGCAATGAATACAGAGCACCGTTGCCAACACCAGCCACAGTTAAACCAGAAGATTCCATCTTCAAGATCCCCCACAGTCCTATTGGGAAGAAGAGGTCATCAAAGAAGAGTGTCAGCCATAGCCCCAGTGTCCGTACCTCAACACCCCGCCCACCCTACTCTGGCGGATCAGTCCGCAGTGAGCCTGTCATGAGGAGGAAGCTGTTCTCTTCGGGTGCAGTTGGCGCAACAGAACACAAGATCCTGGACAAGAAGGCCCTGGTTCGCAAGTTCAAGAAGTTCAGTCATCACTTTCACAAGAGCGACAAGTCCAGCAAGATCAAGACCCTTGCCCAGTTGTAAATCGAACAATTTGTGCTCCTGATTTTAATAGTGCGAATGTGATGTTCACTTGTACAGGACATTTGTGAATAGTGTGGTTGTGAAGACAATAGAACCTGCGACTTCGAGGTTGTGATTACAAAGAAAGTGACTTTGTGTAAATGTTGTGAATAGTGTGGTTGTGAAGACAATAGAACCTGCGACTTCGAGGTTGTGATTACAAAGAAAGTGACTTTGTGTAAATGTTGTGAATAATCATCGGTGATATTACTCTTTCTGCAATTCCCAGAATCTTTCATTACAATTCCACATTATCATTCAAAACCACAGCTGTCTTTCCCAGTGCAATACAATTTCATGCATACCAAACAGATTCTTGCTCATTGTATATTGTAAATATGTAAATATGTCAGATAAATGCTATTTATTTTCTTGTGAAGAACACAGGAACAGTGCTACAATATTTTTGATTTCTAGTCAATCAAAATGTCGTGAATAAATACAAATCAATTCAAACCATTCTCTTATTTTTCTTTACTTTAGAGCAACAGTATTGTCATATTGACGGCAGTTGATGCACTCCCTAATATGGTTGCCTGCAAATAGTCTGGTTTTTTTTCCTTTTATCACCATGGCATCTAGATGGGATTTTATTCTCTTGTCAGAGGGGTACACAAAGATCATGTTGACTACCCGTTGTCAGACTTCCATTTTTGTGACTGAGTGGGTTAGATCGACTCTGTGGTGGCATTTAGGTGCAGGATGGTATTAGAATCTGTACTTCACTCAGAAAGTGTAACACCAAATGGTATACTGAAATTAGTTGAGTGAGTTTATCGTCATTTATCGTCACATTGACCAAATTTTAGCCATGTAGAGATCCAAATTAGCTGACATACATTTCGTTCCACTCATATTTGAAAGTATTTGATATTACGTGATAGAATCACTGAAGCATGACCCCCCATGCACAGTGCTGGGGCATAAATTCTATAAAATCAGAATTTCAAGACAATTCTATTTATATATTTGAAAAACATTCAGTAAACCAAATTGGAAATTCTGTGCAGTTTATTATATTCACAAGCGTCCCCGTCACTATTTTCAGACATAACACAAGCCACATCAACAACATCCACATCTGGACCGAACTATTTATTCACACATACTACAACATAATCAGGATCTATTTCAAATCCCACAAAGCTGTCAGGCAATTACACAAACACCAACCATACTTGCAAGAACCGAAATGAAGGTCCCTAATGAAATTACAGAATTAATTTAGTACCCTTCTTCCTCAAGAGCACTTGTAACCACCTAACATTTACTTCAAAAGTCCAAGCTACCATCTCAACAACCCCCAGTCCCTTCACCCATTCAGAACCAACTTGCCCCGAAGCAAACAGGACAGCCTGATCCAACTTTACCTAATCCTGACACAAAGCTAATTCCAACATCCCCAAGCTCAACAATAGCCCACTAGCTTCCTCCGGGGGACACAATGGGTCCACAGCTCCCTATAGGCATTACAATAGGGGCTGGGTTCCTGTAGATGGCTGTACAATAGAGGCCTGTCTACAGCTTCCTATACGTGACAGTGATGAAACCTGCACTGTCACTAGTGGTAGATGTGTCACTACCCCTGCCATACCCGCCGGTACAATAAACCCCTACAATGGTATGACATGGTTGGGTTGGTGGGCAACAGGATGCCCTGTATCAGATCCTAAGCCTGGCTTTCATCTAATGGTAGATAAGCTAATCTTGCACTCTCCTGCTTGAATGCAAATAAATGCTGTGTAACTTTGCTAAATTGGAGTCAGTAATGTGTATGCTTTTCTTTGAAGTAGTGTTGCGCACAAAAGGAGTTATTTATGTAAGTTGGTCTCGGTTGATAAATCAATGAAATCTTTCAGATATGAGAGGCTAATACCAACTCAATACGAAAAGACTTCCACCCGTATCCCCCTTAAATTTTAACGATGAGGAAAAATCTGTATCGAAATGTCGCACTCAATATAGAACTTGTTATCCATAAAGTTTGTCAATATTGTACATCCCAACTTCTAAAATGTTTCAAAGAAGTCAGCGAAATACATATATACCAAGCAACAGAAAGAGTCTGGCCTAATTATGACCACTGCATGACCATCTGCTCTGGGGCAGCGTACTGAGGGTAAGACTTCCATCCATATCCCCCTTCTTGTCAATCATATTACCTGAATATATATATATTTTACTGTACCGTTGTCATTCCTGCTTGAAGTTTGGCACGATTGGAAAGATTCATGATTTCATGATATGCAACAATATCTTCAAAACCCATGTATTCACTACTTAAACATTCATCTGGTAATATCTGGATGTAAAGAGATGTAGACATGTCGAAGTATGGCTCCATACTGGAGCCAGTTCTGTGGCTGGTATTGGAGGAAGAGAGCACAAACTCTGCGTCAAAGTACCGCTAGTGATTGTATTAAAGGAGAAGAACCTAATACTGCTTCCTCCATATCCCACTATGTCCACTTCACATGAACAATTCAATTTCAGTAACATTTTTGTAAAACACTAGGTAAACATGTAGGGCCACAAAGCCCAAGACAAATGAGGGTCTCTATATTTTCCAAGTTCAGCTCTGGTATGAACCATGATTTAAGCCTGGGCTAGTTGGATATAACTCATGATACTGTAATTGTAGATAGGTTAGAAAACATGTTCCTCTTTGCTTGCTAAACATCCATTTCTATTCTACCAATTCATCAGTGAGTGAGTTGACTATTATTATAAGCTGCTTTTAGCAAACTTCCAGCAATATCACAGCAGGGGACACCAGAAATGGGCTTCACACATTGTACCCATGTGAGGAATCGAACCTGTGTCTTTGGCATGATGAGTGATCGTTTAACCACTAGGGTTACCCCACCACCCCCTAACAATTTATCAAACTGTTCATGAGTATAATTGCCTCATGCCAGTTCATAACATCTGTAGATAATGCTTTCAGTAGTACTGATACTCTTGACAAAAAATGCTAATGTTAGTTGTTTACCTTCTAAACAATAATACCAAAACACTTTGAAAATGATTTTTCAGATGTTGGTAATACAAATAATGTTTGCATTTAACAAAATGGCCACAGAAATCAAATTCTTCATAGTTCTGTGTTATGCAAGTGAATATTTACTGCTAAGATAATTTGTTTCCATTCAAGTTAAAGATAAATATGAGTTATGATTTTGTCTCTGACTACTTCTCAAATTATTGAGGGCGATGGGGTAGCCTAGTGGTCAAAGCGTTCTCTCGTCACGCTGAAGACCCAGGTTCGATTCCCCCACATGGGTACAATGTGTGAAGCCCATTTCTGGTGACCCCCGCCATGACATAGCTGCAATTTTGCTAGAAGCGGCATAAAACAGTACTCACTCACACACTCTCAAATTATTGCAAATGTATTACAACAGCATGTTGTTAAAACTTCATGGAATAATGGAGCAAGATCATGACTAAGGGCTGATGGCCTACATTAATCTTGAATACAGACTTAAACTCACATCAACTACCATAATTAATACAGTAATGTGTTTCCAATACTTGAACAAATATCCTGTTGTTAGGGCACGAGTATACAGGATCTTCACTAGAAATATACTTACATTGAACACTATACTGAAAATAGTGATGCTAACATAGAGGGAGTATGCTCAGACTTACAAAAGAAGAACACAATTAAGCAAATATCAGTATCATTTTCAGATTTCCTTTTTTCAGAATGCATGTACTTTATCAGTCTCGAACACTGCGCAGTGAAAACAATGTATTTTTTAGAATAATTGTTTAATAAATTTTTAGATAATTTTTATTTCCATGTAATATAATCATGTATTATAGTCCGTTTGACTCAAAAGCGGACCGATGAATTGCAATGTAATTTGAAAACTAATAAACATATAATGCTCAATGAAATGCTGAGCCAAATCAAAACATCAGAACAACTCTGTGGTTTGTTTGCAGAATTTATGTCCTAAAATTAAAAAAGTTTAACAAACTATCATTAAAATTTTGACACAGTTCACTATTTGTTACGAGGGAGGACTGCAGAGAAAGGGACAGCCAGGTGTTAGAGAAGCATGTGCACAAGTGCCCACAAAGTTATTGATTTATTAACCTGTGCTGTGCCATCTCCATCCTCTCTCGCACACACCTGGCTGTCCTAATGATAGTTTGTTAAACAACTTTTTATTTTTAGGATATAAATTCTGCAAAAACCTCACAGAGTTGGTCTGACGTTTTATTTATGATCAGAGTTTCATTGAGTATTTTATGTTTATTAGTTTTCGAGTTAGATTGCAAGTCATCGGTCCAATTGTGAGACAAAAGGACTATAGAATAACTTGATATCCAAGTAATATAACCTCTTGGCATTGAGAGATAATGTTAACCACTTAGGATCTACCAAACATCCACTGTATCAAGATAAACCTTGGTATATACAATGAAGGTAATAAAATCTCATAATGCCTTTGATATTGGATTTGAAGTAGTGGTATTTCACATAGTTTTAACAGTCTACAGTAGACAACATGACAAAAGTGGTCTGTGTTGGTGAGAAATGACCGCTGATCGTATAGGCTGTTAGGTTAAGTATTATCTACTTAAAAGACTAAAAAGGGCAAAGATCAATAAAACTTAATGATTGTTTTTATTGGAAAGAAATACATTAGAACACACTCTCACAATAACCTTTTAAATTTATTTTGAAATTGCAATTACAGTTAGTTCTGCCACACTGACAGATGGCACGAGAGGGATTATCTATCTGCTAATCTGATTACTCTCCCTCGACACTGACCGAGTACAGGTGACAAGTGGATCACTAATCCTCCACAGGTAACAGTTCCAACACCGACCCACCTCAGGTATCAGAGTCACAGCAAGCAATAGGCTTGGACCACAAGAAACAGGTCCACAACAAATGTACATTAATACATTTGATAGATAAACAATTCTAATGTATGTATAATACTGACAGACTGAGTCTGTGGTAATTGTATGTTACACGCACAATGTCACACATTTTGGACATTATTTGGTCCTATATTATACATATTGGGCATAGGTTCCCACTTTAGCTTCTTATAGATGCAATAAAAGACTTATTATCCTGAAATTGATAATTGAAATTTGAGGTAGACAGCTTCCAAACAGGGAACACTTGCCATATAAGGAATGTAAACAATTACACCCTACATCGAAATTTGTCATACACAGTGTTGTCGGTGTTTGCCGAACTGGTTTCAATTACAAGTTGTGCGTAGGATATTCATAAAGAGCCTTCCAAGGGACATATCTATGGTGTTCGCTTCAAATAATGTTCGGCCGGTAGAGGGCACGAGAGTCGATTTAATGCAATGCTGCATTAATTCATTCAAGCTTTTTCATTTAATATTGTAATGTAAATATGTAATGTATTTGGAATTAATTATATGGTAGCGACCGCGATAGTTAGTATTCTTGATAGAAATGCATAATGTTTTTCTTAGAGACATGTGGTGTGACTTTGTGCCTTTAATCTATAAACATAACACAATAACAGAACATTGTGTCATGAGTTTCCAGATTCAAAGTCAAAACATGTCTATGTGTGTGACTGTGTGTGTGCGTTTAGTTTGACGCCACTTTTAGCAATATTCCAGCAACATCACGGGGGACACCAGAAATGGGTTCCACACATTGTACCCATGTGGGGAATCAAACCCGGGTCTTCGGTATGAACACTTTAACCACCTGGCTACCCTACTGCCCCCCCCAAACAGAATTACTTACCATCTATGGGCTCAATATGTTCGACTGATGGAAAACATTACACATTCACATTCACTTCAAGGTTTTATATAAACATGCACATTTTTTAGTCTCATAAGACTGTCTAGTTCAAACATTTCTCCCACAAAGATCAAGACAGGTCATGCTATAACTGTAATATTGACCAGGGCATTCACTTCATGACTACACAACACATACAGGTTAAGTAGCTTTATTTCCCACATCATAAACAGGGGTTGGATGGGTTGTGAAGGGCAGAAGTACCTCTATAATATAGCAAAGGAAACACAACTGTATCAAGGCATCCCTGAAATGTGTAAGTGGGCTACAAATTTCAAACTGAATGCAACTAGTTCTGAAACTAGCTTCATCATCATCATCATCATCATCATCATCATCTTGTGTGTCTGATTGCTATTTTTAAGCACCAATCAAAACATTAGACAAAAAGTATTTCACAATAATAAATAGGAAGTTCATTTATTAGAGATATGTCAGCTAACAACTTCAGAACTTAAACAGCCATCTTTTTAGCATCCCCTAGGACAATTTGTATCCATGTTAATTTATATGCACATTTGACACAATATTTGTGTTCTGTCAACCCAAGTGACTACAGGTAAGCATCAGGCACAAGGCTGTCAGGCACTTGGCCAGTTGTTACACAGTACATCCATCTTAATAACTTCCTGTTTGGTGTTCACTCCAACCCAGCCTACCTGTCAGCTGTCAGCACAATTATTTCAAGATGTCACTAATTAGTCTTGTCAAACTCACCTGTGCCAGGTAGATGTGTGATCATTAAGGTGACACAATTAGTGTGATGATGTAATTAATAAGCATCTGTGACATGCAGCATCAGGGTCACTTAGGGTCAGATTGAATACATGTCTTATAATTGAAATATGGTGTACGGAACTCTGCCCACAGGAACTTTGCCCGCAAGGATCTGTACCCACATTAAGTTTTACAGGGGAGGAATTTTGCCCACAATTTTTTTTGTTGCTTGCACTTTGTTTTCATCACTACTGTGGCTAATGTTCACTTTTACTTATCACATTTGCAAAAGAAATATCCGTGGTTAATGAACCCTTACAACTAAGCCTTGTTCTTGAGGAACATTCCCAATGAATGTATTACATTCTTTAAATCTTTTTTAGTATACACGTATCCATCATAGCAAAGCTTTCGGCCGTCTCTAATATTTTTTATAATTTCATCTTGCGATGCTATGTTAATCTGTAAACACTGAGGTTAATGCTATTGAGATCAAACTTACATACTTTATCCAGCATTGGTGAAGTGCAACAAACATATATCCTGAGCAGAGTATTTAAAAGATGGGTGAGTAGTATGGTGTGTATTAAGGTAGGCAACATCTTATATTGTGAGAAAGGTCCTCCCCTGTAAACATTGTGGTGGGCAAACTTCCTGGATTCTTGAAATATACATGACTGATAGAAATGGTAATAAGAAATCCAAGGAGTTTTCACTGTCACTGCTTTTGCTGAAAATATGGCTGTCTTGTCATGAAATAACAAGGCTTGGATGAATGAAATAACTGTACTTGTTAGTGCAAATGACAAAATGAATAACAATCATCTGACAAATAACTTAAGATCAATATTAAATTAAAGTAGTTTTCTTCAAACCATTAAGTTCTTTGGAATTGTGCAAACATGTAGAATACTTGTGACTATCTTCAGTGAGTCAGTGAATGTCATTATACTGTGAGCAAGACACTTGGCATTAGAAAGTGTCCTCTTTACACTTTTCAATGCCCAGGTTTCTTTTCATCCGGTTCTTCTTATTCCATGTGTTTCTCCTGATTATTTGTTCATTTACGTTTGTTGTTGTTTAACTCTGCACTCAGCAATATTCCAGCTATATGGCTATAATAATTGAGTCTGGACCAGACAATCCAGTGATCAACAGCATGAGCATCAATCTACCAAACTGGGATACGATGACATGTGTCAACCAAGTCAGTAAGCCTGACCACCAGATCCCGTTAGTTAGCATGGGTAACTGAAGATCAATTCTAACCTTGATCTTCACGGGTCGTTCATTAACAACTGGCTTCAAATACCTTGTTATAACCATTGTCCCAAGTCAGTATTGTTCAAAATATTGTGACATGCCCTGAAGGTCCCAGGATATTTCACTACAGGTGTGATTACAACTGTCAAGTTAAAAACCGGAGGACACATGGATTGGTAAATAAAATGAAACTCGCTAGGTGCAGATATCATATCTGTGTCAAACAGTGACAAGTGGATTCTGAAACTGGCCACAGTCTACTTTCTAGCTCCTCCCATGTTACACCATTGAGCCTGCGGACTGCTCTGACCATTCCTCAAAAGTTAGCTTGTGGGTTGGGAATGATATTTTTTAATGCTCATATTGTAAGAGCTTGCATCACAAAAGTGACTCTTGATGCAATGGAATTTTGCCGAAAATTCTCGACCCTCCATATCAGCAACCCAGCTCCTCTCAGACCAGAGGAGCCTTGGAGTGAGTGAGTGAGTGAGTTAAAATTTATTGTCACATCGGCAATATTTCAGCCATATCGTGACGAGAACATTTAAGTTTATACATAGTAATTAATGGTAAATTGTAAAAACCTGTCACCGAAGGACAGTAAAATAACTAGATTATCAAAGATTCAAATTAAAACTAGTAATTATATCTAAAACAGTTTAACTATAGATGACAATATAATATAAAAACAGGCTATATTTTGCCTACAACTGAAGTTAGATCACCATACTAGGGACCATGGGGACTTACAGTACATTTGCTTCCTGCATGGGCCCTAGCTGGATTTACATCATCCCTTCAGCTGTTAGCAATTGAGCCAAATCTAGCCATATATTAAAATTACACATATTCTACGATTAAAAAAGTGGATTTTAATTTAATGGGAATGTTTTGGGACTTATGTAGCGGAGCCACACAGGAACTTGTTTTGTTGTTACACAAACTAAATTCAGAAGGATCTGATATTTACATTGAACTACTACAATACCATCACTCTATTGCTGCCTGGGGTATTATGTCGAAAACAGTACAATCTGACAAGTGATTGGTGAGGGCACCTTGCGAGTTATCTCCCTTGTTTCCATGACAGCACTTACCGGAATGAGGTACTGCTTGTATTTTTTGAGGACCTTCTCCCTGGTGACGGGGTCTTCAGGGTACAGAGTCTTCTGCACTAGCGCCAGTAGCATCTCTCGCTTCAGCTGCATGGCCAGCTGGGAGTTGAGATCCACCTCAGATGTCTGGCGGCAGCAATATATACTTACAGAAACATGCTATACATTGGAGGGGTGTCATAGATTTGATACCTTCAAACTATATTTGAAACCTGACAATAAGCATGCCTAATTTATTAATTTCGTTTTAAGGCTGTGACAATTCTAATTTTGCAAAAGTTTAAGCATTTAAAACACATACCATTGCCCTCATATGGAAATTAAACTCAAGTCTTTGGTAAGACGAGTTGACAGCTCACCCACATGGCTAACTCTATACCCCAGGTTTTGTGGGGACAACATTCCGAATGATGTAGAGAACAAGCCTTTGGTTCAATGCTGTTTTAAACAATATTTCAGTCATATGACAACATATCTTTGATGTAGGACTATGTATTGAAGATCAGAGTACAGCGAGTTAAAAGTTAAAGTCACATTGGCATTATATCCGTCCTATCGTGATGATGAAAGAAATGGCAGCCCTACAACAGTTCAGTGTTACCTTCAGTATGTAGTGGTCCAACCCATACGCCTCATCAATAAGGTCAAGGGTCCGCAGGGTCACCTGGATCTCAAAATACTTGTCAAGGACCTCGCTGTACAGCACCCGTTTCGTCAGGTATGGCCGCCAGATTTTGGGGATTCTGAGACGACAAATGTTTTCTTAACTGTTTAACATTCCTAACTTAAATATTTTCATTTTAAATCTTTTCACAAAATTCCTATAGTAAGGATCATAATGTAGGACTATAGTCATTTCAAAGAATGTTTGAAAAACAAGAAGACAGAGTCATCAATATCCCTGTCATTCATTCTTGCAAAAGATTTGAGATTTCTGCGATGATAGACACCAATCCTTACTAGCATAATTCATTTCCTTTTGATTGTTTAGAATTGATATCAGCAATATTCCAACTCTGTGACAGCAGCCAGTAATTATTAAAGGCTGGACCAGATAAGCCAGTGATTGATATCATGAACACACTATCAACTATGACACAACGTCAGAACACAAGATCAATTTGGTAAATTTTAATGGATTTTTTTGGGAAAGATTTGGAACCTAATACAATCCCAATTCACTTGTTGCCATGGAAAAGCTATTGCAAAGTTTCATGAACATACATTTAATGGTATAACAGTTATGCTCTTGACCTCTTGAGATGAAACCCTACATCATTGGAAATCAAACATGGTCTTTGTAAGTTATTAATTTGCGTTGCTGGGTTTGAAACTTTATCTACAAATGTGAGGTGAGGTAAGGTGAAATTGGGTTTAACGCTGGTTTTATAGTGCTAGCCCACTGAGATACCATGCCTCAGTGAAGCATGAATACCCCACTCAGACACATTATACTGACTCTGAGCCGACCAGTCCTTGTTGTACCCCTTAATGCCGAGCGCCAGGCAGGGACCAACAAGAACCATATCTTAACGTCTTTTGGTATGACGCAATCGGGGCTCGAACCCGCGACCTTCCGTTCTCCGGGCGGACGCTCTAACCACTACACCACGGAGGCGGTCTTTATCTACAAATGTGTCTCCTTATGATGAAATGAAAATGTCATTCTTGTATTATCACTGGTTTCTGATACATCTTGTGAACTATATCAGAAAGACAAATCAAGGGCTATAACTCTGGCAATAACCTTTTTAAGCTCATTCTCAAAATTGACCAACAGACATATTTATCCCTAAATTATGCATTGGGGCTCCAATATTGTTTTGCAGTATTTACTAAAATGTTATCCTCTACATAAGGAATTGATAGTTTACTTTGGTATTTAATATATTTTATGCAAAATATATCATATCTTGTGTCTGATTATTTGGGTCATGGACATTGATAAGTAGACTTTTTTTAAATGACTAATCTGCCTGTTTGCTGTTTCTGATAATTTCTAATTAACATATGATTGTGTACTGCTCCAAGTCAACCACATAATCGTGATACAGTCAGCAAGATATTGTACAGCTGTACATTGTTTACTGCGAATGAGTTCATGTATATGTAGGCAACTTTTGCATTCAGACAGTAAGAAAAAGATATGGAAAAATATACATGTATGCAAGCTTAAAAGACAACTCTAAATTACAGACCATGCTGTTTTTCTGTTTCATATGGAATATATTCGTTTAGTTTGTTTTAACACGCTATGATGTCTGCCATATTTGATCTTTGTATTATAACGGCATCTAAAAAAAACTGTTCCCAGTTGAAATGAGATGGATGGATGGAGACTGTAACATGGCATGATATTTACAGAACTGTAGCAGTGAGTGAGTGAGTGAGTGAGTGAGTGAGTGAGTGAGTGAGTGAGTGAGTGAGAGTGAGTGAGTGAGTGAGTGAAATATGAGTCATGCATGTCACACATAGGAACCCTCTTCCCCATAGAACGCTGGTTCCTGGGGGTTGATGCTGTGTCAGGATTCCCGCTGGGGAGCAGCTGGGCATCGCTGTAAGCTGTGTCGTACAGTGATGAAGATTGCACTAACGAGCACTGAGATACAACAGATGATATCACTGGGCCAGTTTAAGGAGGTACTTTCATACTAGTACGTTGGAATATATTAAAATAATTTTGTGCCCCTCAAATTTTGCAAAGAGAAATATATGGCATAACATGCTAACCCTGTGTCGGGGTTAAATTTTCGTTAAAATCTTTCGTACAGCAACCTTTTAGTACCTAATTCTGGCACACTGCTACTACTGTCAGTGCCTAACACATGTGATGGCCTACAAGACAAATGCCAGAAAACAGGAGCGGTGGACAACTTAAAATCTCCATCTTAAAGGAATGGACTGGATACTAAGCCAAACTTTTATGATGGGCAAGGTGTAAATGGGCTTAGTTGTCCGACCTCCTATTAAACTTTTAATGGTCTATAATAAATCAATCTCGCAGGGACTTCCAAGGGGCACAACTCTGCAGAGCAAATTGTAGCTTTTTGGAGGACTGGGCCCATCCCTGTTTGTAGAATCCTTTTTTGTTGTGCCTCTTTAAGCATAAACCCAGGTAGAGGTGTACAAACCTAGAAGCAAAGCGCCGATCACTCTTCCGATAGCCGACAACCAGGCCCTCGCCTCCCCCACAAGCCCTTGTTGCACTCGGCGGGGTACACAACCTTCACAGGGACATTCTGCACACGCTCACTGAAACAAACAACACCACATATATCTACTGACTTTCCATATATCAATACATGTCAGAGACAAACAAGACGCAGCAAATACAACCATACATGGCGATGCATACATACACTCACCCGTGAAGGTCCGGGTTAGAATGAACCTTCAGTAACCCATGCTTGTCGTAACAGGCGACTAACGGGATCGGGTGGTCAGGCTCGCTGACTTGGTTGACATATGTCATCGGTTCCCAATTGCACAGATTGATGCTCATGCTGTTGATCACTGGCTTGTCTGGTCCAGACTTGATTATTTACAGACCGCCGCCGCCATAAAGCTGGAATATTGCTGAGTGCGGCCTAAAACTAAACTCACTCACTCACTAATACAAACACTCAGAGGTATTTTATTACTGCTTACAGCGTTAGAATATAAACCTTTCCATTAATGTCTCTCCCACTTCTTGGCCATGTTGTCACTGATTTACAAGTCACTCCACAAAGTCATACCTTATGCTTACGCTAATATGGAATGGGAAATTTTAAATTCAGTTTGGGAAATTTTACTGACGTTTGTCGCAGACTTTGAACTGAATATCAGCCTTGAACAGATCTAGATAAATTACTGGAAGGTAACTACAGATTTTATTCCAGAGACAATATGAGATCAACAACTTTAGGTTTATGTCGCAAGGACTACGATGTAGCAGATCTGTTACACAAACTCTCAAAAGTGATTGTGTGAGTAACTCTAGTTTTATGTCACTTTTATCAATATTCCAGCAATATCACGGCAGGGGACACCAGAAAAGAGCTTCACACATTGTACCCATGTGGGGAATTGAACCCGGGTCTTCAGCATGATGAGCGAATGCTTTAACTACTAGGCTACCTTACAACCGTAATTCTCCCCAAAATATGCCAGCAAGTTAGTGAGGTGTCAAATATCTTGAACTTTAATTCGCACTTTAGCTAAACATTTCTGAGAGATGTGATATAGAGCCCCGTCTGGCCATTCTTCTCTTGTGAAGTTACCATATACAGACTGACTTTTCAGTGAACATTGTAGCTTCTAGACTAACGTCTAGTCTCTGAAAAGAACATATTTTCAAAAATGTTTTGAAATTATGTTAATAAAATACAATAAAGAGGAGCCCAGAGACTTTATTAATTTCTGCCTGAAACAGTGGAAATCTAGAATCGGCTACATTGGGTATATTTGTTTCAGTGTCTGTATGACTGACTATGTATCGCTGGTTTTACCGTTTCCCTGAGTTGGGGTTCTGCCTGAATGGCCCTTCTTCTGGCTGCCAGTGTACAGCTGTAGGCTCGCCCTCCATAAACTCCACACACCTCCGCTTGTAGTGAGCCGGCAGCAGCTGATGGACCTCCTTGGAGAACACATACTTGTACGCTGCATTTCCTGAAATACATACACTAAAGTTCACAACATCCATCACAACAGATTCACAGAGTTACGCTTACATTGAGTGAGTGAGTGAGTATGGGTTTAGGCCGCTTTTAGCAATATACCTGCAATATCATGGCGGGGGACACCAGAAAAGAGCTTCACACATTGTACCCATGTGGGGAATCGAACCCGGGTCTTCGGCGAGAGCGGGTCTCACAGGAATAATACAGGAAGAGCCAGTTTAGAGTTTACAACACTGACATTACTTTCAGAAGATATTAGTCTTAGTAAACATCAAAAAGGAAATTTCTTTGTCTTGGATTTTGTATTTGCGGTGGTAAAATCACTGACTATGTGACAAGTCACTGGATGTATTACACATCTCATTTTTGAATAATAAGTAAGGGTATGGGGGAGTATGATTTTACATAGCCTTAAGCAATATTTTAGCCAGGTCACTTTAACCACTAGGCTAATCCCCAACCCCAAAGGAACAAAGGTTCATTCACATTTACTGTGAAAATGGACATAGAGAAGTGAGTCATGAGTGAGTGAGTGAGTGAATGATCTTGGGCAGTTAAACATCTTTGAGTAGCACAAGGAACATTCCAAGCCGTTGGGTTATAATGAAATATAATCAACAAATTAACAACATTGACCATCTCGTCTTTGACAGCTCTTACTGGGGACCAGGAATCCCCATTGGGGGATCACAGACCAGGAACCAAACTGAGGGTGAATTATGACACCTGTACCTGTGTAATAAAATAAAATGATCACTGCCAAAATATGACAATTCAATTGTTTAACTATGATTGCTGTTTATAGGTTTATGTGTTGACCAATAAGTGTCATTCACTAACAGCTACTAAATGCCCAAGGGCTAAGGAAAGAATGTGAAGATGAAATTGCAATGGGCTCCATACAAATCTGTGAACAGTACTACAGCAGGTCAACTGCATTCAAGTTCGATTGCTGCAGTCATTACTTAAACTTGTTCACAGTAAGTGCTAGTGTTGGATTATCAGAGGACTTGTGATGAACAATTATCGATTATAATCGAAATATATACATTTTTAATGAATTCACCCAGTTTACCCAGTTTTTTCTAATTAATGTTTTTTGTATAAATAATACTGTCATGCAATGAAATGCATGCAAGAAAGACACTAAAATTGTAATTAAACAATACAAGTGGTTAAAACTTTACAATGTACATAGCTTTATGCTCGTCAAACTTAAAGGTTAGTTTACTTAATTCAAGTGTGCTATACTAAAACAACAAATTTCCCTTTAATCGAAAATATGTTTTTTACAATCTACAATTATTTTTAATCCTTCTTTCGATCGATTTTCGAATATTAGAACACCACTATAGCAAGTGCTAACAGTAAATACTAAAACAAACATATCATTTGGATGTGATTTAGATAAATGGACAAATGTGTTGACATTCAGAATAATGGCTATTTTAGTCTTGGTAAGAAGTGAGGTGAAAGTTGGGTCTCATGTCATGTTGAATATTCAAAGTGTTCATGCGTGTTTTTTTGGTGTGCATGTGTGTGATGGCACTGTTGAGACTAATGCCGGTTTTCTAGTGCAAGCCCGCAAAGATGCCAGGAAGAGGAATATCCCACTGAGACATAGGCAAACTTGAGCAGTGATTGTTTGATGTTTTGGAATTCATTGATAAGGGCAACCATTTATTTTTGCTGAAGGGGTTGTTGTTGGCATTAGTAGTAGAGATATGTAGCCTAGGAACGTTTCTGTATACAAAAATGAACCCAAGCCAAAATCAGACTGCAGCCCAAGACCAGTCAATTTTCTTGATTGGAACTGTCACCCTGTTATATAAGATGCTGTTGATTGTGTTATACAAGAAACAAGCATACACAGAATCAGTGGTAAGACTGCACAGACCGCCAGGGTGGGACCAAACAGTCAATAGTTTTGTGGTTATGTTTTTCCATAAAAGCGAGTATAAATTCGCAACGTATTTTTGAGTTTTTCCAAACATAGTTAAAAGAAGTGGGATACAGTCCACTCAGTTACAGTTTAGCCGAGAGCCGCGATGCGGTCCTATACAGTCAAGACATGACCGATGCAGGGTAATGGTATAGGACCGCATCGCGGCTCTCGGCTTTAAGTTACAGTTCAGTCTTAAGCGCATCTGAATTAACTTGTTTAAATGAAACACTGCATTTTCAGTTGTTGCATTTTTGAGGATGACGCCCGTTCATTGCCTCAATAGTATATGTCTCATGCCTTTAAGCCCTTAGGCTATCTGAAACTGATGCTGTCCCGAGTTCCTGACTCGCGTCAAGGAAGGGTCAGCTGGGCGCGGGCAAATTAATGTTTATCGAAAGTTCGTGTATTTTATGAAGAAAAATTGGTTCCTAATGTTATATATGGATAGCGCTGATGTTTCTGAAACTATGCACTCACTAAATTGGTGAATTCTTGCTGTCATGTTGCTATACGCAGTGGCAGTCGAATGTCAACATTCACCAAACCATGTCGCTCAAGGGCGCCGCCATTATACAGTATTTACCATCAGAAATATTTTCTCGCTGCATTCGTTTAGGGCTCCGTATCCATTGCAACTTTGTATATTTTTGGGACAGTTACCACACACAAAGAAAAATGCTAGTCGTTTTATTTCTCTAATTGTTACATTTATAAGATCCGAAATCGGGGATATTCCATCTTGGGACGATATTATAGCATGATACATTAAGTGTACATGTTGGACATGTATATGGATTTAGAAAATGATTATTCCATTCACAACGTGTTATGAATATAATTTCGTGTGAGTTTTTTATATGATTGGTTAGCTTGTTGTTTAACGCCACACTCAGCAATATGGCGGCGGTCTGTAGATAATCGAGTCTAGACCAGACAAGCTAGTGATCAACAGCATGAGCATCCATCTTTTTTTCCTTGATGTGCTCGTGAATAAATTCGTGTTGCTGTACATTTCAGTGATACAAACCCGAGTGATGGTTGTTCTGATACTGTTTTAAACTCATTTAAACGTTGGACCAATCGTCCTTGGGCAAGCCTTAATTTTTTGGATGAATCAATGCATACTTTGGAGTTCCTTAACAGGCGCGACTGGGAGTATTTTCAGTGTTTGAGCATTTTCATGCCGTTAAGGTTTGACAGAACGATCATATTGGGGGTGGCTCAGTAATGGAGTGGGGTAGGATCAACGTGACTGGCAGAACACCTTTACATGTTATTCACGGACATGACACTGGGCAGTACTACCGTGACGGCAACCTGGATCCCGCTTGGTACCATGTGGCCGTCGATATGGACGTGAGTTGTGTTTCAGGAAGACAACGCGAGAGCACACGGGGTGGTATTATTACTGTACCCCCAACAGTAGAACATAACAACCTCACTATGGCCAGCACTCTGTGCAGACTTGTCACCAATCGAACATGTGAGGGGTATCATTGGACGGCGCATACGTCACCATCAACAACCACAGAACCTTCTCAACGAACCTGATGCCGACCTTCAGGAGTAGTCTGTCATACAGACCCTGAAAAAAATATATCCAAGAAAGCCCATGAAAGTCTAGACTATATGGCATGTCTAGATTTCCACAGTTTGAGGAAATGAATTCTGAAAATTAAGAAAGTCTCTGCGCTCCTATATTTATTGATTATTTTTAACAGTTGTTCTCCTGTAAAATACGTTCATTTCAGAGACAAGGTATTAGTCTACTGCAGGAAGAATGGGGTGGAATGACTCACTGAGTTTGGTTTTACGTAGCTTTTAGCAATATTCCAGCAACACCACGACAGGGAACACCAGAAATGGGCTTCACACATTATACCCATGTGGGGATTCGAACCCGGGTCTTCGGCGTGACGAGCCAACGCTTTAACCACTAGGCTACCCCATCGCCCCGGGATGGAATGGAACGAGCTGACACTGGAGTGTACGAATCCGAGATTGTCTCGAGAAAAAAGGCGGATTCATGGAATATGAATGAGTGACTTTTCATTGTACATGACGGATGGACAGTAGGACGCCAATCATCTAATAAATATGTTGTCATCGACGTTCAGTGATCAAAACAAATCTCAGTCAAATGTCCCGGCTATAGGGTCTGGAGGGGGTCAAAATTTTCTACCCGGATACCCTACCCTCTATTACCCTACCCTACCCTACCTTGATACCCGTAAGAAATGGCAACATATTCTTCACCTCGGAGGCTAAAATTTCGAGTTTTTCAATATCTAAACCATGTATTATATTCGAACGAAGTGACTGTAATTATGTCTAAATCTTCAAAAACAATACAGCCTTTTCATGGTTGGATGGTTGTTGTTTAACGCCGCACTCAGCAGTATTCCAGCTATATATGGCGGCGGTCTGAACCAGACAATCAAGTGATCTATCAACAATCAACAGAGACCTGAACCATCCTCATCTTATTCGACTCTTGCGTCATCTGATACTGGGTTGAAGTACCTCGGAATCATCACAGGGGTTGGGGCAAAGGAAAAATAGACGATAATGACGGTTTGCCTTGCCGGCGTGGCCTGGGGCAACATACTGCTATATACGGCATGCACTTATAACGGCATAAAACAATATTCGCAAATCCTCCCTACTCAGATTAAAGACTCCAACTAAAGAGTTACAATCATTTATACAACCCAGTGGCAGTAAATAACTTCAAAAGTGACATTATTCAGGGTATAAATTATTTCGAGGGGTACGGTAACAACGCGTGGCCGACTCGCAAAAGCGATCTCTGTACTAAAGCCATAGTAAGTCCCATAAGATAACGCATACTTACACAAGTCTCAGCACTAAGATTGCTTTGTGCCGCCGGTCCAGATCTGATTAACAGTACTGAATGCTCTGTGAATTCGTCATAAATCGTTTTACTATTTCATTTTCTTGTCTTAATGAAACTCAGCTCTGTGATACTGAATGTTAACATGGAATTTTCATTAAACATTAAACTTCTTTGAGTGGCATTTAGAAGTTGGTGTGATGAACAACGGGGAAACGTCTATGGATATACAACATCTTACTTGATAACGGTGTTAGCATCTATACCGAAACGTACATGTATCATATATTGTATTACAGAAGTTTTATATCCATAGAACAATCCCCCCTTGTTTAGTGCATTGTGCATTATCTTGTTGCGTCCAATGTTTGTGTCCGGCAGTGCTGAAGTTAGTTATTGACCATATCCCGAATAAACACGTAGAATATCTTCCTGAAACACACACACACACACACACACACACACAGAGAGAATGAATCAAGTCAGTGAAATTGTTTCATCTTTAATGTAAATTTGTGTTTAACTCCAAGTATTTAAAAAGAGAATTTTACCACTGAAAGTGATATGATAACATCTTAACCAATGATAATCCAAAGTTTGGTGCTGCTAGTTTATGTAATTTATTTGAAATGAACATTTAAAATGTGAATTCACATCAGTGACGTTGACGGTTAAAGGGAGGTAACTCTTGTCAATATAAATTATAAACGATTGTCTTTCATATTTTCTTCGTATATTTTACTCTACCAAGTTACCAACCATCTTTAAAGAAATAATCCAGCAAATTATTTTGAGGGTTATATTTGTATTTCGACAAGAGAAACTATTATTTGGACAAACACCCTTGAACTATGTAGTCCATATTTTGCTTGCACTTGATGATAAAGAGACGGGTCTACTCAGAATGATTTAACAGCCGCTTCTTTCAGTCTAACCAGCGGCGTCTTTAAAGGGAGACAAACTTGCGGTGGTAGCGTTCACGTCCTAATCCTGCGATTACGATTTTACAGCACAAAATTGCATGACGTGTGATCATTGTTGGTTCATATGCCGCGGTTGTACTGGAATAGATATTGTCAAAATATCACTTACTTTGACATAACATGTCATTATATGCCGTTTGATGATGACCGAAGGGACTACAGATCTGCGTGACTTCGAGGGTCATGTAAGTAACATTAGCCTCATAGCCGAGGGATGCAATTTGTTGACTTCGGGTTAATTGTATCATTGATTATTTGTTTGTTGCTTAAAAGCCTCACAACACTTCAGTTAATGACGCTAACCTGTACATTGTCGAATCTGGAGCAGACAACCCAGTGATTGATATTATGGGTAAAGTTCCACGTCGCTGGGTAAAGATACAGTCAAGTCACGTATTCTGACCACCATCGTCTACGACCGCTTCGTATAGGTTAGAGCGTCCGCCCGGAGAGAGGAAGGTCGCGGGTTCGATCCCCGACCGCGTCATACCAAAAGACGTTAAAATATGGTACTTGTTGGTCCCTGCCTGGCGCTCGGCATTAATGGGCACAACAAGGACTGGTCGGCTCGGAGTCACTATAATGTATCTGAGTGGGGTATTCATGCTTCACTGCGGCATGGTATCTCGGTGGGCTAGCACTATAAAACCAGCTTAAGTCTGGGCTAGTACAAGCAGCCGCACATACACATACACACGCATGCACGTCGTCATATGAGCGAAATATTCTCAAGCACGACGTTAAACCCAATTTCACCTCACCTCACCACCGTCTACGACAAGCGTAGATTGTTGTGGAATTAGTCAGGAATCCCACAGGCAGAGATATATTGATAAAAATGTTCAGAAGCATTCAATTCGTATTCATCTACCATTATGATCAGTAGGTAAATATTTTGTAACTCGTTATGCATACGCTTGTATGGGGAAATGAGGTATTTGGTCATATTTGCGTGATATACTGCTGTGCGACATAGTGTGTATTGTCAAGCAGGCTGCGAGTATATCGTACGTTCTGTATATACATCACTACTTGTAGGTGAATGTTTCCCCTTGACTAACCCGTGAAGATCCGGGTTAGAATTGATCTTCAGCAACCCATGCTTGTCGCAAGAGGCGACTAACGGGATCGGGTGGTCAGGCGGGTTGACTTGGTTGACACATGTCATCGTATCCCAATTGCGCAGATCGATGCTCATGTTGTTGATCACTGGATTGTCTGGTACAGACTCGATTATTTACAGACAGCCACCATGTTGCTGTAATATTGTTGAGTGCGGCGTAAAACTAACCTCACTCACTCTCCCTTTACTGTTATCGCTTTTCACCAAGGACGCATTTGCCATGGCTTTGTTTACAACAGTCTGCCTCCAAGACGCTAGTCTGTCTCACAGTCCCTGAACCACATTATTTTCCCCACTGCCAAGCTCTCTATGCAGTGCTAAAGCCCTAAATAAAGCAAGTCTAGATTTCCTCAGGTTCTGAATCTCTGGTCTCCCTGGGGCTCCTTTCAATTTAAATCGGCTTGTTTGTTACTATCAAAAATATATATAATCAGATACTAAGCATTAGTCTACCAAGACGCCAGCGACTAAATATAAAGCAGTCCTACTCAAGTCTAGAATGATTGGGCATGTCTAGATGGCCTCAGCTCTAGGCCTGAAATTACGAATTGTCAGGGCTTCTTCTGGAGCTGGGGGCGGTGGGGTAGCCTAGTGGTCAAAGCGTCAGCTCGTCATGCCGAA